TTGCTCAGCTTCTCAAGGGTTTAGAAAGGAGCCCTTATCAAGAGCGAGTGGGAAGAAGGGGTCACCTACTCAGGACAGAGCCAAAGAGTGGCAGATGGGGGAAGACACAGGGGACAAGGGAGGGTGTGCTCCTGGGGGGACAATACCCATGGCTTCTGGCCTCCTTTTTTTTTTTCTTTGCACATACGCACACTGCTTTTTGATTTCTCTTTTTAAAATTTTTTTAAAGATTTTATTTATTTATTTGACAGACAGAGATCATAAGTAGGCAGAGAGGCTGGCAGAGAGAGAGGAAGGGAGCAGAGCAGAGAGCCCAATGCGGGGCTTGATCCCAGGACTCTGGGATCATGACCTGAGCTGAAGGCAGAGGCTTTAACCCACTGAGCCACCCAGGCGCCCCACTGCTTTTTTATTTCTAAAGGCAACCACTGTTTGGTTTCATTCCTCCCATACACATTCTTTTTTTTTTTTTGAGAGCGAGAGAGAGTGAGCACGAGCAGTGGGAGGGGTGGAGGGAGAGAGAGAGAACTCCAAGAAACTCCCTGCTGAGTGTGAGCCCGACACGGGACTTGATCCCACAGCCCCAAGATCATGACCTGAGCCGAAACCAAGAGTCAGATGTTCAACTGACTGAGGCACCCAGCAGCCTCTCACTTTCACTTTCCTTTTTTCCTTTTTTTAAAGATTTTATTTATTTATTTGACAGAGATCACAAGTAGGCAGAGAGGCAGGCAGAGCAAGGGGGAAGCAGGCTCCCTGCTGAGCAGAGAGCCCGATGCGGGGCTCGATCCCAGGACCCTGAGATCATGACCTGAGCTGAAGGCAGAGGCTTTAACCCACTGAGCCACCCGGGCGCCCCTCCACTTTCACTTTCTATGCACAAGCAAATATATGTGTATCTACGTCTGAAAAAAAACGCTTGTGTGGCATCATAATACCCAGTCTTTGCCTTTCTTAATTCATAACGCATCTTGGTTCTTCTTCCCTGTCTGCTCTATCTCCTTTTTTGTGACCACATAGCATGTCCCCACACAAGCCTGCACCGTGACTTAGCTAGCTTCTGCCGGCGGCACTCAGCATTTTCCCCGTTCTAAATAATCAACAGTGAGAATCCTTGAACACATGCTCTTGGGCACCTGTGTGAGTTCCACATGGTGACCTGTTCCTCTCTGTCAGTTTCCAGCTTCACTTCCTGAGAGATGGAGGTCAGTCACTAAGCAGAGACTGTCTAATACTTCAAGTTAGTTACTTAGTTACTTAGTTACTCAAGTTAGTTACTTAGTTACTCAATGTTTGCCAGGAGAAGGCTCGGAGCAACACCCTCGCCTCTTAGAATCCAGACCCCCAGAAACGGTCAGGCTAACGTGCCAAGTGACTTGTGCTCAGATGACACTGGGCCATTGACGAGGCCCGCAGCCACATCCTGTCTCACCCAACTCTCCTATCAGTCCTGCAAAGGAGGTATCATCAGCATCACTGTTTTTACAGAGGATTTGGAAACTGAGGCTCAGAGAGGATGAGACATCTATCCGGGGTCACACAGCTCATAAGCAGCAGAGGACTCAGAGAGACTGATCGGAAGAAATCCTGCCTTCTTTCTAAACCCATGGTGCAGGCTGTATCACGGTGCCTCTTGGAGAAGAGACGTAGGGTGGACGCTTAGCTGAGAAGGTAGGTGATGCAAACATCTGTCTACAGGCTGAGTTTGCCAGCCCTGCAGGTTTCCTAGAGCTCCTGGGACCAATGACCATAAACTTCAGGGCTTAGAACAACGCAGATTCATCAGCTTACAGTTCTAGAGGTCAGAAGTCCAACCAGTCTCTGTCTTAGGAGGCTTAAACTAAGGAGTCAGCAAAGCTATGCTCCTTCTGGAAGGCCTAGGGGAGAATCCATCAGTGACCTTTTCCAGGTTCTAGGGGCTCCCCCTGATGCTCGGCTCATGGCCCCGAACCTCATCCCTCTGCCCTCTGCTTCCACCATCATAACTTTGTCTCTGACCCTCCTGCCTCCCTCTTAGAAGTATGCTGGATCGTCACGATGATTCAGGATGACTGCCCCATCCCAAGGGCCTTCCCTGAAACACATCTTCAAAGTCCCTTTTACCATGTCACGTAACACCTTCACCAGGTCTGGGGATTAGAATATGAACATCTTTTGGTAGCCATTATTCTGCCTATCTCGTGTGGTTCCTGGCATAGTGGTTAAGAGCAAGCACATACGTCAGGTCAAATCCTGGCCCTACTGTCTTCTGGCAGATGGAAGTGTGTAATTTCTCTGAGTCTCAGCTAGCCCGACCTGAAACACTGAAATAATAGATTTTTCCTTCCAAGGCTATTGGGAAGATTAAACAATACAAAGTTTACAGAGCTCTTGAAATAAGGTGCTCAGTAAATGGGAACTGTCATCTCCCCTGCTGCCTCTTATGGTAACGGGTAACAGAAATTCCACCATTTGAGATTTACTTCTTTGGCTCTTTCCCCAAGGACACAGACGCATCTCGGGCCCTTGTGAGCTGACAGAGAAGTTGGCTGTTAAATGAAGTCAGGCTCCTTAATAGGACTTAGAGAACCAGGGAAGAATCAGAGAAACATACCATGGTAGAGGGAGAGGGAGAAACACACTGCCTCTGTCCGTTTCATAGTTTTGCCTGTGGCTCCACTTCGGATGGGAATTTCTCCAGCCTCTTCCCAGATTAGCCAGGGTGAGCCTGCCTAAAAGGAACACTCTGAAGATGATTTGCTGAGATAGATGAGACCTGCCCAGTTAGGCTTGTGGCAGAGCAGGGTGGATCTGGAGTTGGATCCTGGCATGGAAAAGTACTGAAGCTCTTTGCCTCCAGGTGGGAGCTAGAGCCGCTGTCTGAAATGATTATCCCCAGTCCGGGCCTCTCCGAAGTTGGTCTTGCAGAGTGAAATGAAAGCCAGATTCTGCGTCTTATCTGAGAGCTACATGACTGTTTCTCATCAACCATTTAGAGACTGGAAGGTTCCCAAATTCGGTGTCTAAACTTTGTGATGGAATATACACAGCTCTCCAACGTGAACTTGTGTAGCCACCTGCCTGCCAAACAGTTCTCCCCCTTCAATAAGATAATGTTACTCTTTGGGGCTTTCATTTAACCAACAAGTATTTATGAAGCACCTGCAGGGGGCCAGGAGAAGGGGTCCCTAACCTCAAGGAGAGCAGGAGGCAGACTTGTAAAGAATTATGTCACTGTGTAGAGTGAGATAAAAGTGACTTCCCTTCCTGAAAGAGAGGGAGAAGCAGGGAACCTTGTCTCCGGGGAGAGAGTAGATGCAGATCGACAAGGAATTCTTCCAAAGATGGGACAGCACAGGCCCTGGAGCCAACCAACTGGGGTCTAATTGCTGATACTTCCCAGTTGTGTGACCTTGGGCAAATGATGACCTCACTTCCTGAAGCCTCAGCTTTCTCTTCTATAAAGTGGGTGTAGCCAAAGTACATCCCTGGGGTTTTTGTTTTATAAGGATTCAATGGGCTGGGAAGTGAGTAGCAACCTGATCATGGGTCCATTGCCAGGATGTGAGGAATAAGCTGTTATTGTTATATTCATGAAGACTCATCCCTGTTTCCCTAAATGCTTTCCTCATCCCCAAATCACAGGTCAGCCCCAAATTTGCCTATTTGTGGACACCAAGTTAAAAAGCAACAGTGGGAGGAAACACCCACGTGGGATGACATGGGTATACATACCTTTGGATGATGTGTACCCATGAACTTGGCAGTTCGGCAGTGAACTTGACTGCGGTCCCACCAGGGTGTCTAATTTCTGTCCTGGACACAGCAGATTCCCAGTAGGAGGCGCCTTCTGTCCTCAGCTAGATTCTCTGACACCCGCCAGCCGCCTATTGGCTTTTCTCAGGATTTGAACTTCAAAGAACTGCAGCGGGGCGTGGCGGGGGGGGGGGCGGTGGAGAAGGGGATCCCTGACCCGGCCTCTCTTGGAACTCAAAACAATCTAAGATTGGGGGAGGCTGCGGGCTATTTTTCCCTCTAGGTTTAGAATTCAGGTTTTCGATGGTCTGGCAGAGATCAGATTAGTTTGGGCGCCAGAGAGGCATGGTTCCAGGGCAAAACTCCGGGGTGGGGGGCACTGGTAGAGCCGCCGTCGATGAGAGGCGCCCTCACCAGTTCGTCTTTATCCTCCAGAGCCAGGACTCAGGCAGTAGTTCTGGGGCTCTAAGCAGAGGTGGGCCACTCCCCTGCAACCTGGCGGTCAGGACGACAGCCGGTGTTTCTTTGGGAAAGTTCTCCGGAAAGCTGGGAATGAAAGCATCCAGTAGGCAGGATTCTCTGGACGGGGCGTCCGCATCCCGATGCAAGCAGGCGCGGGCCCCTGAAATGGGCTCCGCCCGGGCGGTACGACCGGGAATCCGCAAGGGGCGCTCAGGGGACAGGGGAGGGACCGAGGGGTGGGGGTGGGGCGCCCGGCTGAGGGCAGGAGCAGACTCGCTTAAAAAAAAAAAACAAAAAAAAACAACCTGCTTCCTCCTTTCCTACCTCCACCCATCAGTCACCTCGCAAACCACCAGCCCTGGGCGGTGCAGGCGGGTCCCAGCGCCCCGAACGCGCCCAAGGGTGAGGGGGGAGGCGGTGGCCTCCCCAGGAAGTGGGGTGAGAGGCCGGCGCACGGCTCCGCCAGGTGAGCGCCCGGCCAGGTAAAGGCGCGGCAGCTGTGCCCGCAGTGCTGTACCTGCACGCTCGCGCCTGAGTTGAGGTATGGGGAGGGAGGAACGGTCTCCCAGCTCAACTTAACATTTAAATAACCTGGACTCCTGTGCCGAGTCGCCGTCCCCCATTCCACCGCCACATCCAACTCCGCGGCCCGGGGGTGGGGATGTCTCGGCTCTGTTCCATTCCCCCATCCCTGCTTAGCCAACTCGGAGTGGCGGGGGTCGGGCGAGAGCTTGGCCCAGCATCCCCCCCACCCGCTAATCCGACAAGAGAGAGCGGGTCCCTTCCTTCCGCAGCTCGGGTCCGCGCCCCAGTCCTGGGGGTGGCGCTGAGCTCGCCGAGGGAGGGTCGACTGGTGGGCGGCGCCTCTCCGGGCTGGAGGCCGCTCCTGGCCGGCGCCGCCCTCTGTCTCTCGCCGTCCCTCCCTCCTGCACGCCCGCGCTCCGAGCCAGAGCTTCCTGCGTCCCCATCCCGGTCCCGGAGCCGGCGGTGCGCCTTCTCCGCCGCCGCCTCCCTCGACCGAGACCCCCACCCCGAACCTCCGGCCCTGGGATCACAGCGCCCCGAAGGAGGCAGCCCGGGGTGGGGGGGGGGTGGGGTACCGGGTCGTGGAGTCCCCGGTCCCCGGCCGCCCGACCGTGACGGAGCTGGACCCGCAGCCGCCCGGGTGAGTCTGCGCCGCCGCGCCCTCCGCCTCGCGGAGTCCCGCGGAGTGACTGTTGGCAGGGCCGGGGAGGGAGTCGAGGGCTGTCGGGGTCTGTTTGTCCGCCCGTCTGGGAGCTTCCTGTCCCGGGTCCGCCGCCGGGAGGACTCTGAACCCGCACCCACTGGAGCCGCGCCCCGCCAGTGCGGGACACCCCGCCTCCACGGCAGCGCGCTGACCTCGGCGCGGGGAAGGCAGCCAGCCTCCGGGGCCCTCTGTTGGCAACGTCAGGTGCCATTCGCCAGGCGGGTTTCGAACCCTTGGCCTCGACCGAGAGGCACCTTCCGCCCGTGCCTGGAGCAGAACTTCCCAGTAAGTCCCCGGAAACCACCCTGGCGCTGCCCAGTCGATCCCTCGTCCCCCAACCCTAACTCTTTTCTGGAAACCGAGGCTTTGGGGAATTTAGATTCGAGTGTATGTTTAACGTGCCAGAGGCAAAAAGAAAACAAAACAAACAAACAAAAAAAAAACGGTAAGAAATCGGGCGTGAGCATAGTAGGGAGACACAGTTTCTTCCCTGTGAAATAGGCGTGATAACCTCCTGGGATGAGGTGGGGCGCTCGTGCCGAGCCCATCGCCAGAGCTTGAAATCCGTTTCAGATCTCCTGTCTGCGTCCGGATGGGAGGCGTGTGGCCTGGGAGGGCCAAATTGCAAGGGATGGTCACTTACAGAAAGTAAGTTTTCCTAACCAGAGCATGGGGGAAACAGGAAACCTGGATGTCCGTACGGTTCCCCAGCCCTGCCTGGGCCCTCCCTGGCCTGTAGTAGCGTGTGCCGCCGGGGCCAGATCCCTGCTAACAGTGCGGGTGGTCGGGGAGCCGGGAACCCCCGCACCGCTGGAGCGCAGCGGGCGGAGCCTGGGTGGGCGGGGCCGGAGCAGCGGGGGCGGAGTCGGAGCCCGAGAGGCTGGAGAGGGGTTTCCCTCTGGTGCTGGCTTTTGGCTTTTGATCGACGTGGTGGTGGTCTTCGAGTATGGCTTCTCTAGTGGAATATCGCCTCTGGGACCTGTGAGCGGCTTTCACAGTTTGGAGACTTGTCACACGAGGATCTTGTCCTAAGTTAATAGGAACGAATGGAATTGGGAAGGAGCCCCTTTCCCTCCACGTGCTTCCCTCCGCAGCTTGCCAGAGGTACTGCCCAGACTGGGACAAAAGGCAGAAGAGAGGGAGGGGAGGAGGTTGGTGGAGCATCTGTTCTCCGGGTGGTTGGATGATTAGGGCCTCCTGGGCATCAAGCAGGGCCAGGCCTGCCCCAGGGATACAGGGCCTTGGGACCTCAAGAGCTCCCAGCCTCTTGCATGGTATATGACAAGTGTTGCTCAGAGGTGGTGATACAGTCAGGCCCCAGCACTGGCTGGCTTCGTGACCCGCCTCACTGAACCTCCAGTTTCTTCCTCTGTAGGATGGGAGTGGTAATCTCGGTGGGACTTTCATGCCTAGCAGGAAGCTCTGTTACAGGGCTTAGGGGAGAACAGGAGAGAGAAGATAACTCGGGCTGAGGTGTGCCAGGAGGTCCCGCCAGGAAAAGGATATTGGAATATGCAGCAATGTATTGGAGCCCCTCGTGGAGGGGGAGGAAGGGTGTCTGGGCTGATGGAACAGCACAGGCAAAGGCACGGAGGTACAAAGGTACACACCCGGAGTGTGGTGGGCCTGGCGGAGAGTGTGCTCAGGCAGTGACAGATGGGTTTGTGGGAAGGTGGGGAAAGTAAAGGAAACAGAGGGTCTGGAATGGGGGCTGGTCACGTGGGACTTTATCATGTGGCTGTCTGGGAGCCATTCAACAGATGTTGACTGAGTGCCTTCCAAGGGCCTGGCACTGTTCTAGGTGCTCAGGATGGATTATTGAACAAGAAAGACAAAGACACAGATTCCATTCAAGTGCTTTAAGGAGGGGAGTCATTTGATCCTGTTGGTATGTGAGGAAGATAATTCTGTCTGTGTGGACGTCAGATGAGACTTTGGGGAAGGTTGCTGGGAGAGAGGAGGCTGGTCGGCGGGCCAGTGGCAGTGGGAATGAAATGGCAGGGGGAGGCTGGAGTGGAGCCCCGTGCAGGAGGCAGAGATTACCATGTGGTCTTCACACTTTACCATTGCTCAAGGGTGAGGTTTGTGGATTTGGTGTGAGGCCCAAACTGCCAGCCTGTCTTCCGACAGAGAGCGCGGGCAAATGCCTGGGAACTTGGCAGGGCCCAAACCCCTCCAGCTCTGGCTTTCCTGCTCCCTGACTCCAGAAGGCACAAAACCTAGGAGTTTCTGTGTGAGGAATGGCAAAGCTGGACACAGCCAGCAGCCCATCTCCTGGGCAACCTGCCTCCTTTAGGGCTCCTGTTTTCCTGGGTCACCATGCTGGTAAATGTTCTCTCCCTCTGTGGGGTTGGCAGTAAACCCCTCAGGACCCTAGGGCTGGAAGAGGGTCTTTGGCTCTGGGCTTCTCTTTTCCCGTTCCAAATTAAGGTGGAATTCAAGGGACTGAGCAGAGTCCAAAGTGCTGGGAAAGTTCCAGAAGCTCAGAAGTCCTCTGTTGGAGATGTGGCAAGGGGTCTGCTTCTGGCTCCTGGCTTTTGCTTTCACTTTGTTCGGAAGCTTGGATGGGCCTTTCTTGCAACTGATAGCTCTCTAAGACTATTCTCTGTGTCGGAAGTCTCCCTTTGCTTGGAAGGAGACCCCCCTTTGTCTTTTGCCAGCCACAGGAGGAACCCAGGATGTCTTGGGTGGAGGGGACCACTCTCATTTGACAAATAAAACTCAGATAGGGGAAGAGCACACAGCAAGTCAGCAGCAGAACTGGGACTGCCCCCCGGTCCCCGACTGCTCTGTGTTCTCCCAGGAGACCTGGCCACATTCAGGTCAGGGACTCGTTTTAAACCCACTTTAGTACAGGTTTGGTGGTTTCTCAGGATCTCTGCCCTGCTGGCCGCTTCATAGAGTCTTGTTCCTCCCCAGCCTGGACAGGTGGCCCAGCTTAGCCTGGCAACATTTTTGTTCTTCTCCCCTTGGATTGAGCCCTTGGTACACCGGCTGCCTCTCCAGGGAGCTCTGGCTCCCCAAAGAAACAGGTTTTCCCTGCTTCACACCAGACTGCCCAAGGCACTAGCCAGAGGCAGCCCCCTGAGAATCTCTGTGGAGCTCTCCCCCACTAGCTGTAGCCTCAAGACTGATTCTTGACTCCTCCCTCCCCTCCGCCCCAACCCTTACCTCCCGAGGCTGGTTGGCCCTGCCTTCTATCCAGTGTTGTTTACTTGGGCTAAGCTGCCAACAGTTTCTTATTCTCTCTTGCCCTAGATTTATCAGACCTAGCAGCCCATAAAACCTGAATGCTGGTCTTTTCAGCTCTTCGAGTTTCGGAACCAGAGGGAAACTTAGCCATCAAAATATCTAATCTGCTTATTTTACAAATGGGGAAACCGAGGCTCAGGGAAGGGAAAGCACTCGTCTGAGTTCAGAGCTAGGACTAGACCCCATTTTCTGATTTCAGGGGTGGTTCTTGAAAATAAACCAAAACAATAAAACCAGAGGAGAGCCCCTCAGAACCTCTTTCTCTCCACGCACCCCCTGGCAAGTGCTGAGGGACCCGGAAGATGAGCGGTGCACGGGTGCACGTCAAGGCGTATATATCCTGACATTTTCAGATTCTGTCTGTTCAGACTGGTATGGATGCCAGGGAGAAAGCTAGTGATTAACCAACCTTGTCTGCTGTTCTTCTAAGCATACTTGACAATGCACCTGGGAATGGGCGGGTGTTTAATGTTTTCACCCCTGTTTACAAAGGCAGTACCTGCTCGATGTAGAAAACCTGGGAGGAACCCATCACGATATGCCAGCCACCACTGCTGATAGTTCAGTGTTTAATGCGGATTTTTTATTTGCTTGCTTGCTCTGCTGCTGTTTAATATCTGGTTCATCGTCATAACATGTATTTTCCCTTGTGTGACAGCGCACTGGTTCTAACCTGTCAATCTCATGCACTTGTGCCCTCTGATGGCTGGAAGGTTCTGAGGAAGCCAGCTTTCTGTGGCTATGTCAGAACACTCCAGCAACCAAAAATCCTAGCATGCTATGCAGATTATGGACTGAGTGGGGCTTCAAGGGGCCATGTCTCTGCACCGCCATGGTGTTTGGGAAAGGGCTGTGTTTACTATCTGAAGCAAAGATCGATTCTCAGTGAGCCTCGTAGAAACGGAGGAGGTTAGCCGTCTCAGCGCGATGGGTGTGATCCAAAGAGTATAGGAGGGAAAGAGAAGTCTTCGTTTCCTCTGATTGTTTGCTGGTTGATTTTTAACCCAGCCAAGTGCTCCCACTCCCCCTTACCACCCCTTGTCCTGAATCCCCCCAGGATTAGGCACTGGGGTGGCAAGTGTGGATCCCTAGGAAAATCAGTAATGTACTCGGCTTGCTCGTCTCCGAGTCTTGCCTCTTGGACTGTGAGTATTTCAATGACAAGCCTGAGCAGAGAATTTGCTGGCTACTCAGGAAACCCAGGTTGGTAACTTCACCTTTGGGACAGGGTCTCCTGGCGTCATCTCTCACGTTCTAACTGTATCACAGCTTCATTAATGCCATATAAATTGTCAATGCTCGAGGCGATCTCAGAGGATTCCTTAGGCCAATGTCTACAGACTGTGGGCAGCAACTTAGTGGGTTTTAAAATCAGTGAAGTAGTTTTCCACTGGCTTTTAAAAAGTGATGTAGAAGAAAGCAGACTAGAGACAAAATGCATCTCCTGTCGTGAGAAGCATCCTTTAGTAAAATTTTCATCTCAATTATCTCTATATCTCTCTATGCACTGAGTCACCAGATAAATATATTTCCATCTGCATGGTAAGAACCTTGGTCAGTCCTTGCCCCAGTCCATTGGGTTTCTTTTTAAAATGAGGTACAGGGTGCCTCATTAGGGCAGTAGATAGCACGTCAGTTTCATAAAATGAGGTACGGTTCACATCCAATGTTATGTGAGTTTCAGG